ACAAATTCAGTTTGAAAATGTAACTTACAAAATAGGTTTTCAGCTTAATGTAGTACTTTTTCGAAATAAAATAATTTCTTTTTTTTCAAAACTAAAGATACAATATATTATTTACAAAATGTGTTTAAAAAAATTAACACCCTTTTAGTTAAAAAAAAAAATTAAATACTTACAAACTAATGTTTATAAATTGCTGCGAATTTAAAAATTTTTTAAGAAATTTTGGATGAGAGAAAAAATTTGTATACGCATTACAGATCTTTTTTTTGATTGGATTATTTTTATCAGAGTCACATTTGTGGTATTTTTAAGTAACTAAAAATCGTTTAATATTTACAAGGATTACTAAAGGAAATACATACATGCATACGTTAACAATGGCAGATGAGGCAGAAATTAAGTTTTAAAATATTGAAAAAAAAAAAATTTAAAAAAAGAAACGGGAGCCGAGATAAAATTTGAATAACAAAAAACGTGGTCCCTTTAATGGGGCAGCTGCGTAAACTAATAAGAGTACAATTATAAGACCTCGCAAAAGTTGCCATTATTTCGTGTGTGTGTCCCAAGGAATTTTGACATCTGATACTTCAGAGCCTGTTGCCTCACTCTCTCCTTAAGAAATAATGGAACGGGCATTATTTCTGTTGCATACATTGGTTGCCTTGTGCCGTTTTTTTCACAAAAAACTTTAGAAAATCGTAGTAGAAAGCTTAGCAAATTTCGTGCTGCCTTAAGGAAATTTGACACAAGAAAATTTCTTAGCCGTTCCATGTACCTCATTTTATATGAAGTTAAATATTGCTTTTCTTGAGAGCTGTACACTGGCCTATAATGCGAAAGTTCACGCTTTTGGTGTGAAAAAGCGCTTATTTGAAAAAGAACGGCCTTGAAACCCTCTGGCCAGCTCTGGCAAAAGAATGCCGTTGTCTGTTTTTTTTTTAGACAGTTAACAGCTTCGTAGAAAGCTTGTTTCTAACAGAAGGAATATACATTTATGTAAAAAAAGCTTTCACTTTCCCGCTTTTTAGCAGAATTTCGAAAGTTTAACCAATTGTATACGCGCAGATAAAAGCTTTTCAGAGCACAGTTAGATTTAGTACGAAACCTGGATACATGCTGCACAAAGCTGTTGTCAACATTGTTGACTTTTATAAGTGTTAACGAAAAATTTTAAAACTTTTACATTCGTTTAATTTCTGCGTCATCTACCGTGGCTTTTTTTGTTCAGTTTGCTTCATTTTACCGACAGCTTCATACTTACGAAATTTATCCTACATTTTTTATAATACAAATTTAGTATGCTTTCTGCAATTTTCAACATATTTCTTCATCCGTTGCGTTAGCTATTTACAAAGTTTTATATTATCATGGGGCATTGGATATTCTAACCACTTAATGTACTTATGTAAGTATGTTTTTATGTATAGTTTGGCTTAACGTAGTTATTCACCTAAAGTACTGTAAGTGCAAGTACAAGTACTTACCACCTAAATAAGTACATATCCATATGTATAGTTTTTTTTTGTCACATTTTCGCAAACATTACATACATATTTGCTATTTTCTTTGCCGACATTTTACTTTTTTGCTTAGTAGAAACTTAAAATTTAATGATATTTTTTGCTTGCTGGTAACTTTACGCAAGAATTTTCGGTTGATTGCTTTAAAAGTTTAATTTTTTTTATTTTGCTATTTTCAATGTACATACCTAAATTAATTTTTTTTTTATTTCAAGTTCGCAGATTTTACTAATTTGTGTGAAACTTATTTTCACACAATGTTCGGTTTTTTATTAAGACTTTTTCTTATTGTATATTTTCGTATAGCTAATTGCTTACATTTAAGATTCATTTAGTTATCCATATGTAATTTTTTATAGTTATACATAGTTTTTTTTTCATTCTAATAATATTTTTTAGTATACTCATATGTATATACATAAACATACATATGTATACATACATATAAATCGCTTTAATCGTCTTTACAACGCCATCAGTCTTTAACTTAGGGATTAAATTGTGTACTTGCTTAAAAATTAATTGATGTTCTACATAAATTTATGTGCATACATCCATGCATAGGGAAATACATACATATGTACGTATGTACACATCGAGTCCTAACCGTTAAAATAAAGTAAGCGACATTTTTTTTTTAATTCTCTTTTTTATGCAGAAATGCATCTAGATGCTCTAGGAATATTTCTGAATCAAAAATAAAATTTTGAAAAAAATCTCGCTTACGTTATTTTGGCGATTAGGGCTCAATATGTACAAATTTAGTTTAAATTTAAAACGAAAAAAAAATGCTCAAGAAATAAAATTTGCAATTATGGCATTCTTTAAGGCACGTTTTCTCAAAAAGCTTTTGAAATTCATTTGCCTTGCTCTTTTAATACATTTTTGAAAAAAAAAGTTTATAAAGGGCAGATAAATTTTTAAAGCTACTAGAAAAAACGGCCCTAAAAATGGAACTGCGGGTAGGTTTTGAAATTTTAGATAAATATATTTGTTTTAAAGAGCAGATAAATTTTAAAACCTACTTAAGAAAACGGCTCAAGAAGTTCATATGTCCATATTAAAAAAAAAAGAAATTTAGGCAAAAATTATAAATTATAAACTTAAAAAACTAAAGTGGTAAATTTTGAAAAATTATAAATTTTCATCTCATTTATTTGGAAAAGAGTTGATATTTTTTAGTATGAAAAGTCTATACAAATTCAGGGCTACAATATATACATTAGACTGCATCACTCCCCATACAAATAAATATCGGTACTGTGTTTCCACTGAAATTATAAAATTTATTACATTTTAAGACTTGCACTAAAATATTTCGGAAAAAATATTAAGATTTACGTGAGCTGGACCGATTTGAAAATACATACCTCCAAAAATGGAGTTTTTTTATGAATAAAAATTGTTTCTTAAAGTATTAAAAAAAAATCTTCTCAAAAAAGTGTGTTAAGAAACAATTTTTGGACGTATTTTCAAATCGGTCCAGCTCACGTACATCTTAATGTTTTTCCAAAATATATTGTGGCGAATGTCTTCAAATATAATACATTTTGTAGTCCCGGCGGAAAAAAACGCAACTTTTTTTGTAAAGAGCAATGAAGCGGTGCAGAACTAAATCGTCAAAAAATTTAAAATTTAAACAATGCAAAAAACATACTTAAAATAAAAAAAATTTACATTTAAAGTAATTGTTGAAAAGCATTAAAGCATTTAAAACTATTTTTTAATACTGTTATTTATAATTTGTGACATACATACATACATACACACATATGTATATGTTGCTTTTGTAATTGTTGCATATGTATACAAAGCCGTTGCAACATACATACATACACTTGTGGTCCGCTGATTAAGTTAAGTGACATTTAACCCACTAAAATTTAATGGACTAAAAAACTGCATACATAAAATTTTTCTAAAAATTCTCACTAAAAAGTTTAAAAACTGTGGGTCTAATTGTTAAAATTTGTTGAATTTTTATGATTTTTGTACGAGCTTTGAAATATGTATGGATTTATGTGGTGCTGGTTAGATTTTTATAAAAAAAAAAATTAAATAGACAAAAGAAAAATAGTCAAAACTGGGCAAAATGTCACCAAACTTAATCAGCTGACCACAAGGGTATATATGGAGATATGTAGTACTCCGCAAAAGATTTATTTGCGTGCGTAAAGTTATCATATGATGCGCCAAAACGTTTGCCAGTATAGACAATTTTAAAAACAAGTAAAAAAGTATGCATACATAATTTCGAGCGAAACCGTTTTTGGACCTTGTAGTGCACTGGGGGTTCTGACAAAATATTTTTTTGTTTTCACTGATAGAAATAAAATATTTCACACAAACAAGGTTGAAATTTTGAAATTCGTGCCCGTATTTTGTCTGTAAGTCAAATATTAGTGGCATCGTGCTATTATGATAGCAGGGCCGAGCAATCGTAATCAACTTATGTACAGTAGTCGAAAAAATTATAGCCGCACCAAATTTTGACAAGTTTTAAATTATTATTCTTGTCGTTATTTAATTTTCTTAAGTTTTTTATAGTTCATTCATTAACAACATCCGTATAAAGACAGGTTTAAAGGCGATGTCACACGATTGGGTATTTGCCGAAATATGGTGCAAATCTTATCCCAATTGTGTGAATACCCAAATATTTTTCTTTATCCCAATCACGAAGAAAAAAATTTGTTGAAATTTTTCAATAGAAGATTGCTGTACTTTACTGTAAAGTTGCAAATTGTAAACATAGTATAAGTGTGTGGGGTTAGAACACCTTTTTAAACTAAAATTATGAAGATTTCAAATACATAAGTACGAATAGAAATATCATCTAAAAAGATTTTTTTTGCGCTTATAAAAATAATTTAAATTTGCTTCCATTTTTCCAAGCTTAGCTTTGGCACATCAAACTTAAGTTAATATTATTACTGTTGTTCTATGATGAATATTAAGATGAAATTAAAAATATAGTATTAAGAAATGTTGTTTTTCAAATACGTACACTTTTTAACATGAAGGCACATTTTACGTTTACTACTTCTTTTTGTTTTTTTTTTTTAATAGGTGTAAATATAAAGAGCACAGTAACAAGATTTGTATCTATAATTAGAATTTACAATTAATAAAAATTGCTTTTCAAGTAGTCAGTATTTAAAACAGAAACTTTACATTATTTCTTCGCTTTGTTAATTTCATAAAATTTACAAACAGTTTTTTCCACACGGGGCAACACTTTTTACTTACTCATTACCAAAATATGAACGTGAGTTCTTAGCGTTTAAATCTCACAAAAAAAAAATAGCAATGCAATTGTCTTCAGAAGGCTGTTCAGGATCTGGCATTTGCATATTTAGGTATTTGTAAATTCACAACAATAAAATGCAAACGGTTGCCATGGTGACAGGCATAAAATTTGCAAATGCAAACTCAAGACCATTTGCACAACATCCTGAACAGCCCTATATATTTTATTTCTTTTTTATTATTTTATAATAGGCTTTTGTGGGTCGAGGGTTTAGAGGCTGATGCCTTGAAACTAGTTGAGGGGAGAATCGTTTTCGTAGTGGAGTTTCGCTCGCTCGCGCAGTTGCGGGAGGCTTTTGCGCTAAAAGCTTATTCAAGCACGCTCACGAGTACGAAACAAATAGTAAACCAATTCATGTCATTCATAGTTTACCTGTCGTTCGCTTCAAAATTCCGCTCAGAATTATCAGGAAAACTCATTGCTGCCCGCTGCCGTATCCCGCCAGCGCTCGCGCTCGTAATAATCTGCCGCATAGCCCGCGCCACTACCACTACCGCCGCCTCCCAACCAGCTATTGCTGCCGCCCGCCCACCAACTGCCCAGAAATCACCGCTCACTGGCATGCGTCGTCGAGCCAATGCCGCCGTTGCTGTTGCTGTAGCCGAGCGGCCGCTTAAAGAAGCCCAGCGTATCGAGCGTGCGGAAAGTGCGTCGTATCAGCTCGTCCTTGTACTTCCAGATCGTCTTGTCTTCGACCGAGTTCTCGCGGTACTCCTCACAGCTTTTCTTCAACGTATTCACGCAATCGGCGCGATAGTGCTGCAGCTGCGCATCGGTCGTATTTACCGGGTAGGATTTGCAGACACCACCGAGGCAGGCGAGCGGAAAGTGATTGTGCAGCGTGAGCACGCGCTCTGGGTCATGGAAACATTTGACGTACTGGTTGGGTTTGGTGTAGTTTTTGGCGCGGTGCACGTGCTGCAGCATATGCATGTACTTGGGTATGTCCTTGTGCCAGCCATGCTCGTGCTGTTGGTCATCGAGGAAGTAGACGTTCCGAAAATTGTAGCTGTTGTAGCCCTCCGGTTTGATTTGCAGCGACTCGGGAACCACCTTCTCCATCAGCTCCGACCAGAGCACAAAGTTGCCCTTCGGCATGATGACCTCGTCGATGTCCAGCAACGCGATGTACTTGTACAGATAGAGATTCTTGTAGAGGCAATCATTGTAGGGTATGACTTCGTTCTGGCGCTTGTGATTCGTCTTCTTGGTGAGGTAGAGATGCTGGAAGCCGGGCACGTTCGGTTGTCCACCTGGTAGCGTCAACGGTATGACCTGCACTTTTCCCTCCTGCTCGTAGTGGTTTAGCACTTTTGTGATGTTCGGATGAACTTGCAGGTTGTAGAAGTAGATCTTGTCGGCGCCTAAAATATTCAGCATCTCAATCCATTCAATCAGTCGCACAGACAGATCGTCGTAAAGGAAGTCTAAGCCTTTGACACAAACCGCGAAGCCTTTCTTCTGGTCATCTGGCGGCCGATTGTAGATGACGCGCAAGTTGTTTGTTGCCGTGTCGCATTCCTTCTCCACCATCGACACAGAGCTGGGCACTACGCCGTGGAAGGGTTTCGGTATCTGGCAAGCTATCAGGTAGGGCTGATGGATGCCCTGCTTGTAGTTGCCCCACTTGTTGTACCAGATGTATTTGTATTCAAAGGTCTTTACAATGAAGGGCTCCTTCTGACCGTCGAACCAGAATTGACAGTAGGTCTTCACTGTCGGCTGTATGCGATCGATCATGCCGAGTATGCGCACCGTCGGCCCAATGCGCGAAGTCTTACGTATGTCGTAGTAGGCGCCAAACAGCTGAAAGGTACCGTTAGAGGTGCGCATCGTTTGCCAGTAAATGTTGTTGAATTCCAGCTCGAAGATGGACGGATATTTGGCGCATGTATTGGACTTCTGCTGACGGAAATTTTTATTCTTGCTCCAATAGGCGATCGGTAGAGAGGGGATGCGTGACTCGACATCGCGCACTAGCTGATCATCGTCCATGGCTAGGGAGCAAAGAAAGAGGAGAAAGCAAAAATAAAAAATAAATATAAGTAAATGGCTTACCCAAAGGGGAAAAAGAAAGAAATTGAGGTGATTTTTCACTTTGTAAGACCTCATTAGTTTGGGAGCAGAGTTATTGACCACGAAGATTCCCAAGCGTAGGTGATACTATTTTCTATTTCTTGCTAAAGAACCGTCTATTAGGAACCCTGTCGCAGGTAGTACGAAGTATCTGGAATCCAAGTAAGATTGGAAAGAAGTCCGCATAGTTACCTTAATATGGTCATTAGAGGGATGATTTGCAAGTAATGACAATTGTAAAAGTTTATCTGTGCTCGTTTTGGAGATACCCGGAATCACGGAAAACGATCCTTTAAACTGGTAGCCACTGGAGTCAGCGCAGACTGCGATAAGACAGCCAAGCTGTGCTTAGGACCTTGGAAAGGGGAATACTATTCAACTTATGTGAGACAGATCGGGGCTGCTGATAGGGGTCCAGGCATAACACGAACGGCGGGGTACATCCTAGATCGGTAAAGAAAAAGTTATAGAAATCGGCCACTAAATCCTTGGACTAACTACGAGCAAATTCCTGCGATGTAAATCAGCTTCTCATAAAAATACAATAGCCGTTCGGAGTCGACTTAAAACTGTTAAAACTGTAGGTCTCTCTTCTTTGTGTGATAACATCAAGGCGCACGCCACAAATCGGAGGAGAAACTCGTCCAAAAGTCCAGGATCCTTCCTACTTTTCTTGCTATACATTGTCTGATTTTTCATATTGTTTTTCGAATCGGAGAAATTTGAAGAGATATTATGCGGACGATTTGTTTATCCCCAGTCAGGTCTTAAGTACGATAATCTAGATTTATTCAAAATCATCTCCTCATATATCCATCTGTCCTAGAGACGTGCTCTCAACGCTATGGACCCTTGGAGACTTAAATAATTAGGATATGATAGGGTGAAGTAAAGAGCTGGAAAATGAGGCACCCACTAATTCAGTTTATGAAGGAGCAAAGCAGATGTTGGACTCTTTCAGCTGAGCAATCAATTCTTGGATTATGGGTGGAATTATTACCCCTTGAACTATTCAATCTGAGATTTGAGGTCACTCAAAAAAAACACCCTGTATATTTTAATTTTTAGTCAAAACCATTCACTCACCTGTCCGATTGTCCACCAATATTTCGGAAGGATCAAAACGATCCGTTGTCGTCGATGTAGTTTCCGCATACCGCAATATGTCCTTCTGCAGCAAAATGCGGCCACTCAGTGGCACAGCGCTGTACTCCTGCGAGACTAGATTGGTGCCATGCATTTTGAAGAGGCCAATTATGACAAAGGACCAAACGCAAAGGGAGAGAAGGACTTTCAATATAATCTTTGAACTGGCCATTTTTGCGTTTGCTTTGTTTGTTTGTTGTTTATTGATGTTTATGTTGGCTTTCAACGTTTGACGTTTGCTTAAAAGTAGTGATTGTTGTTGTTGTTGTTGTTTTTACCGATACCAGTAGTACTTAGTTGCTGTAATACTAATGAAAGTTGTTGTCGCTTAAGTATTTTTACAATTCTTGACTTGTTTTGTTGTCTTTTGTAAACGTCTTATGCGACGTTTGTTTTTGTTGTTATTGTTATCGATGAGTTGATGACACGTCTTAAACGTACGGAAAGACCATNAAGATAACTGAAACGAAAAAAAAAAAAAAAAAAAAAAAAAGTGATGGTTAGTAAAATGCGGAAAAATATTGAATATCTGTATGTGTCTATGTTCGTATTGTAAAAGCTATGAGAGAAAAGCAGAGTGGTAATCAATCTGATCTTCATAATCGCATTAGTTCATTGTCCCTTCGTTTGTAGTATTGGCTAGCCAGTTGAAGCTCATAAACCATTTAATGTAATTACCGCATTAACTCCCTTGTTTTTGTTGTTTGGTTCTGTAATTTCCTTTGTTTACTGTCTTAAGCTTTTCTTATTTTTCATGCTTTTCATGCTCCATACAATGGATGTTTGCTTACAAATTGTCATTTAAAGCCTACATAAATAGGCGACTAGACAGCAAACGACCCATACAAAAGCTCAATGAAGACCCCAGCAAAGCTTTTGTAGCAAATTGTTTCTTAAGCTATAGAATGGCGACGCTGGAATTCTCGAAAAGGCAAGACAAGAAATAGTAAAGAAAGAGTAAGTGGACACTGCCTACTCAATGGTTTGTCATCTTTTGATGTTCATTTTTCATCCACTTCCAAACAGTCTTCTTTGCATTCACTATTTCCTGACCACGACTCATTTGTTGTTATTGTCGCATCAATAAATAATGAAAGTCATTATACCGCAATGCATAAAATTCGCATTTGAAAAAGGGGGAAGCACAAACTGGCAGCAGAGAAAGGTGGCCACCAACCCGAGGAGGCACGTCATGGCCGTCAATGTTGCAATTTTCACAAATTATTGCCATTAATGAAATGTTAGTCATTTCCGATGTCTGCGGCTACAATTAGCATAGAAGAATAGTGCCACTTTGGTTGTTGTTGGAATAAAAAAAATGCGCCCCCTCCCCGTCCTTTGTGTGCCTGCAGAGTAGCCCCTGTGGCGGAGGCACGTGCATATTTCTGCGTCTGCTAGTCATTTATTATTACAGTAAAATTGTATTATTGTTGCTATTATGCTAGTTAGTATACTACTGTTGTTGTTGGTTTACTGCTGCATTGCTGCTTTGGTTGTTAACTTGTAAACGACATGAAGTTTTTTATTAGCCTTTTGTCTGGCCGTCATTTCTGTCTCGAGCTTTTGTTTGCCGGCTAGTTGGGAAATCGTTGCACGTTCTGTGGCACAGTGGACAGTTTTGTTAGCGCTGCAATACACTCCTAAGGCACACTCGCAGTGCAAACTGGAGGCGTCTAAGCTAGATAGAGCCCGGTTCGTGGTTTAAAATTAAAAAAAGAAGAAAAATGCATTCTGCCCTACAGCCGAAACGAGCATGTCGAAAAGTCAAGATGAAATAAGTACATAAACCCAAGAGTTTGCATCAGAAAAGTCGCTAATTTAGACCGCAATGCGACTCGGTAAGTGAACTCTTATAGAAATGTTTGCACCTAGCCGAGATTATTCTTGATTTTTTATAAAACAAAACTGGATCTGTAAAGCACAAATTAAAAAGAGCTGCGGTCAATCTTTGGAAACAATCGAAGCACGCTGCAGCTGAGAGAACTCGACTACTTTAAAGTCTAAATAACAAACAGATGAACTTCTCAAGTGGCAAAATAGGTTTGGCATGGTAACTAGTTAGTTTCTGCCAGCTTTAATGAGATTCTTACATTTTAAGTGTCTTTCCATCTGAGCAGACCAGTTACCTGTTCTTATCTAGGCTCTTTGCGTCGGTTTGGTAACCTCCACAGACAAATATAGACGTGGACTTTCTAAAAATTAAAAAGCTATTCGTCATCCGGTTTACTTGAAGTGAACCCCAGACTTAATCCTCGGGCCCTGCCATTTCTTGTGTTGGTGAATAGTAACAATGATTAGGTAGAAGTCTTATTTGCCGTTGCGGGCTAGCATCACCTTTTCCATTATATCCACGAATTTTTCAATTATTTTGCCAAGAATAAACACTGCTTTCAACTTCATTGAGTAGCCACAGTTGACAGCCACCCTTAGCTTCTCTTGAGGACCTCATAAACTGAACCATATTGAGCATATGTGTATGTATATGTGCGCCCCTAAACTATGTAAAGCAGAATACAATAGACAATGTTGCTGTCACTCCAAACGGCTGGAAATACCACACCGGGTTTATAAGATCTACCGCCTGAGCGGCAGTTGGAAGCAAAGCATGAAAAAAAGCAACAGTGCGCCAAACAAACCAACGGCTAGTCGTTGCTTTTCCGCCTTTGACTTCCTCTCATTACATCCGCTTGCCGACTAGCCGCAGACGAGCATGACCAGCCGAGGCGGAAACGCACGTACATAGTTCGTGGAGAAGAAAAGCGGGAGGCGGGAAAAATTGGTAGACATATCAATATAAGAGGCCAGCAAGAAAGTAAGCTTTCAAAATAAAAATAAAAAATCTATCACAAGACCGCAGCTTTGTATTTGAATTAGGTAGACACGGCAGGAAAGTGGAAAACAGTGGAACGGCCGGCAGACAGATAGGCTGCAAAGTTGTGGCACATAGAGATACATAGATAGCGCAAAGCAGACGATAAGTGTCCCCTCAAGTAATGATGATGATGTTGACGCTGATGAAAATGGAATGGCCCTAAAAGCACGTAAAAATCTAAATGCTTGTGGGCTGAAAAATGTCTTCCGTCCGAATCCCGCACCATCACAGACGAGTGTGACATTTGTGGCAGGTGCGGTTGTCTGCCACGATGGCTGCAGCAGCCGAGAATATGTTTGGAGAATGCGAAGTGATAAAAATAAATGTGGCTATGGTGGCTGGGCGGAAGCAGACGATGGGCGGAAGCAGATGAAGGCCGGTGAGCAGCAAGTAGAACGAAGTAAGCTGTCTAAGCAACACAGGAAGGTTGCTTAAATGGGCCACTTGGAAAGAGCAGCATCAGCGAAAAATTCTACTAACTCACCGCGTTGTGCTTCGGAAAAGTGCTTAAAGCAGCAGAAGTAGAAGCCGTCACAGCAAGGAAGTGGCTTCTTGTTAAAAAACGACGACGGCAATGAGGACGCTGGCTGTATATCACCAGCAAGTTTTCGTGGCACACCGGAAAGGACACTCTACGTGGTGGTGGTGCTTGAAGTGAGCTCAAGTCCTTGAAGCTGAATGCTGTGAGCGCCATGAATGTCATGTATGCATAAATGAATGAATGAATAAATGAATGGAGGATAAAGATAGATAGCAAGAATAGAAAAAAGAAATCAAATGTGGCAAGAAAAAAAAGATGGAAGTACTGAATGGACGCATGTTGTATTAAAGCATAGAATGAATGAATTTGTTGAGCATAATTGATGCTGACATTGTGCTGGGATTTCAGGGATGCTTCACATGCCATGCGGCTGGTTATCTCTTGAGTACATAGATACTTATGTAAGCAGCAGCATGTTTTTGCTTTTGCTGCTACCTCGTCGGGATTTATTGAGATTTGAACGTTCACCGCTTCTTTTTCTTAGTGACGACATGTCCTGTGGCAAAAGAAAAGGACAAAAGCGAAAGTGTAATGCAGTAAATCACTTCCTTGTTGTGAGCCAAATTTTTTTTTCCGTCGGCCTGTGAAATGACTACAATTGACGCCTGATGGCTAGTAATCCACTAAATGACAATCAAATTTGAGTACTTCCCAAAAGGAGAACGGATTTGTCTAATAAATTTTTGAGGACGCAATAAATTTTTTGGATAAGTGAGGGAATAGTTGAAGTGTAGATTTGGGAGGTAGTAGATTTTAGGAAGAGGAGTTGGTGAAGGTAAGGGAAAGTGCGTGCAGCTAGGTATAAAAATATGAGTGAATTTAGAGATAGGAACAAAATTAGAAAGGTAGTAGAAAAAGGAGTTAAAAAAGTAGTAGAAATAAGATTTAGAAGGGGTGTGAAAATAAAAATAAAAACGTGTGGAAGGGGAGTATGTGTAAAAATAGAAGAAGAAAGTTAGTAGAAAGAAGATTATCGAACAAGAGAACCGCATAAAAAATATGTGTAAGACTGAGAATAGAGAATAGACTGTCTAATAAACTATGGTACAGTTTAGGGAAAGTGAGAGAAAAGTTGCCGTGAATAATCAAGAGGTAGTAGATTTTACGAGGAGCAGTTCGTGAAAAGAAATATGAGGGAATTTAAGAATGATACAGAATTAAAAAGGTGCTAGAAAATGGAGCGAAAAGGGTAGTACAAATACAATTTAGAACGGGTGTGACAATAAAAATGTGCGGAAAAGGGAGCATATGTAAAAATAGTAAAAGAAAGCTAGCAGGGGCAAGAGAATAAAATATAGAACAAGAAAACCGCGAAAATTGAGAATAGACCCAAGAGTGGAAATGAAGCAGCGAAAGCAAAAGACAGACATAGAGAAAAATCCGAATAAGAAAAGAGGAGCAGAAAAGGGAGCAGCAATGTAGTGAAAATGTGAGATGTTAAGAGGAAAATTTGCTCGGAAAATTAAATTTGAGAAGGAGTAAAACTAGTAGTAGAAAAGTAAAAGGAGTGTGAGCACGAATAGGAACAGATATAAGAATAGAAACTTGAAAATAGGAGTAAAAGAATATGTGTACCTTCAGAAAGGAAAAATGGAGAAAATACTGTTACTTTTCGGTTATAGGCTAATCAAATCTAGAGGAGACAAAGAAATCATGTAGAGCGGTGCCCAGCGAGCAAATGGTAATTAATTTCTTTAAAATAACGGTACGAATCACTAACTGGGAATAATTTATTGAAGGAAAGAATACAGCGATGAAGAAAAATGG